AAAAACGTTCAGTACCTTCCGAGTCATCAACTTCATCATCATCGAAGAAGAAGAAGGCAAAACTAGAACATGGAGGGTCATCAGGCTCTAAACAAAATTCAGGTTAGTAAAATTGACTAGAACTGTTTAGTTTTTATTTTTCAGAAAACGGTTTAGTAATGGCAAGTTCATTTTTCAGTTCATTCATCAATTGTTAGGCACTTTAAGTAGAAAGGATGCAATGATGAGAGAATTTTTTGCTCTTAAGATGTTAAAAGTCTTGTGTTATAGTTAGAATTTAGGTTATCTTATTTTACTTTTAAAAATATATTTTTATTGATTTCAGAGAAAAAGGGAGCGGGAGAGGGGGATAGAAACATCAATGATGAGAGAGAATCATTGATCAGCTGCCTCCTGCCCACCCCACACAGAGGATTGAGCCTGCAACCTGGGCATATGTCTGGACCGGGAATCGAACCATGATCTCCTGATTCAAGGTTCAGTCTCCTGATTCAACCACTGAATCATGCCAGCCAGGCAGTAAAATCCAATTTTAGAACATTTCCATCACCCACAAAAGATTCCTTGTGCCCATTTGCAGTTGTTCCTTATTTCCACCCCATCCAACTAATAATCTACTTTCTGTCTCTGTATTTGTCTTTTCTGAATATTTCATATATGTGAAATTGAACAATATGTGGTCCTTAGTGTGGGGCTTCTTTTTTACTTAGCATCTGTTAGACTAAAGAACACTAACTTGATCATTTAATAACAACAGTATATTATATTAATTGATTTTCATATGTTAAACCAACCTTGAATTCTTGGAAAAAATCCTTGGTCGTAGTATATAATCTTTTCATTTGTTGTGGAATTCAGTTTGCTGTATTTTGTCCAGAATTCTATCCATGTTGGAGCATGTAGTAGGACTTCATTCCATTTTATTGCTGAAGAATATTCCATTATAGGGATATACCACAATTTGTTTATCCATGCACCAGTTAATAGACATTTTATTTAACTTTAAAAAAAATACATTTTTATTGGTTTCAGAGAGGAAGGGAGAGGGAGAGAGAGATAGGAACATCAATGATGAGAGAGAATCATTGATCGGCTGCCTCCTGCATGCTCCATACTAGAGATCGAGCCCTCAACCTAGGTGTGTGCCCTTGACTGGAATTGAATCTGGGACCTTTCAGTCTGCAGGCCGACGCTCTATCCACTGAGCCAAACCAGCTAGGGCCAGTTAATAGACATTTATATTCCTTCCACTTTTTGATTACTATGAATAGTGCTGCTATGAACATTTATGGATAAGTCTTTATATGGACATCTTTTTATTTTTTCCTTGTAAAGAGACCTAAGAGTAGAATTTCTGGGTCATGTGGTAACTTTATGTTTAACTTTTTAAGGAACTACCAAAATGGTCGTGCTATTTTACATTCTCACCATTAATGTATGAAGGTTTCATTCTTTTCTTACTCTTGCCAAGACTTGTTATTCCTGTCTTTCTGATCATAATCATTCTAGTGGATATAAAATGGTATTTTGGTTTTAATATGCAATTCTCTAATGATTAATGATGTTGGATGTCATCTCATGTGCTTATTTGACCATTCATGTGTCATCTTTGGTGAAATCTCTGTTCACATTTTTGCCCACTAGAAAAATATTGCGTTGTTTTCTTACTATGGATTTGTAAGAGTTCTTTATATAATCCAGATGTAATTTCTCGATCCAATTTCTTATCACTTGTGCTCTTGGTGTCATATCTAAGAAATCTTTGCCTAACCCAAGGTCATGAAAATTTACTGTTTTCTTCTAAGAGTTTTATAATTGTTTTTTCAAAAAATACATCTTTTATTGATTTCAGAAAGGAAAGGAGAGGGAGAGAGAGATAGAAACGTCCGCGCTGAGAGAGAATCATTAATCGGCTGTCTCCTGCATGCCCTCTATTGGGGATCAAACCTGTAACCCGGGCATATGCTCTGACCCAGAATTGAATCATGACCTCCTGGTTCATAGGTTGACTTTCAACCACTGAACCACACTGGCTGGATGAATTGATTACTGTTTGCTATTGTAACCTAGTCCCTCAGACATAGAAGCATTCAATACTTATTCGTTGAGTGATTAAATAAATTACAGGGTAAGGTAGGGAAAAGTTGATAGTGTACATTATCAAATAATCTAGTTAAAGAACCTATATGCTTTCCATCTGGGGCAAGGACCCAAAATTTATTGTTTATGGAAATATGGTTTTAACAGTGCTCAGAATAGTTCCTGACTACCAAAGTATTTTGAATACTTAGATTTCACAAGTCCTTTGAAAACTGGATATGTTACTAATGTTAGAAAATATATAAAAAATATTTTGTGGAAAAGCTATTTCAGATCGGCAGTGAGGCTTCTCTAAATTGAAAATGACAGTTATTTTTCACTTTATAAAGCAAATATTTTCTGTCATAATTTTCAGTAACTTCTTAATAATCTGTTAAGTTAATGTGCCACTTTTAAGCTGTTATTTCCAACTTTTTATTATTTTTAGTAATGCTATTATAAACATCTTTGTATCTTGAGTTTTTTTTTTCTTTTGAACTAATTGCTCAATAAATTTTCAGGAGTGGCATTTCTGCCCTAAAGGCATGGACAGTAGCAAAAAAGTATAGGGTTATCCTATCCTATATAATAAAAGCCTAATATGTTAAGTGACTGACCATTCATTTGACCAGTTGCTATGATGCACACTGACCACCAGGGGGAAGATACTCCTACTGGTAGGTTAGCTTGATGCTGGGGTCCGGCCTATGGGTACTGGGCAAGATGGGCCGGACATGCCCTGGAGCCCTCCCGCGGTCCCTCATCGGCCCCGATCGTGCACCAGCGGGGGTCCCTCGGCCTGGCCTGTGGGGATCGGGCCGAAACTGGCAGTCTGACATCCCCTGAGGGGTCCCAGATTTCGAGAGGGTGCAGGCCAGGACGAGGGACTGTGCACTGGGCCTCTAGTAAAATATAATACGTGTATAGTCATTGGAATTCCAAGAAATAAAAGTGCTGTTATTTCTTAACAGGTGTTGAGTGATCCTATCTTGACTTTTATTTTGCAGTCTTTTCTACATTGGGTATCTTAGTCCTTGAGAGTGTGAATATGAGAAGCAAACTGAAAGCACAAGCTCAAGAAATGCAGTTTAGGGGATGTACTAGTAAGTCTTAGCTTGAAGATAACCTGACCCTTCTTAGACCTTGTATTTCAACAGTTAGTCCATGTTAAAAAAAGAAAAAAGTTTTTATTTATTTTTATAAAGAGGAAGGAAGAAAGATAGAAAGATAGAAACATCGGTAAGAGAGGAACCTCATTGATCAGCTGTCTCCTGCACACCCCCTACTGGGGATTGACCTGCAACCTGGGCATGTGCCCTGACCAGGAATTGACAGCAACCTCTTGGTTCCTGGGTTGATGCTCAACCACTGAGCCACACCGGCTGGGCAACAGTTAGTCCATTTAATGAAATTTTTATGCAAGTATACTTGTGACCTTCTGAGTATTTTGAGATTTTTGTTACAGTAATCCTACTTTCAAAACGTGTAAGTTGTCTTCAGTAAACTAGAAAATACTGCTTTTTAATAAGTAGGGACTTCAAGTGGAAGTATTTTTATTACCAAAATACATATAGATGTAATACTCTTTTTTAAAAAAAATCTTTATTGTTGAGATTATTATAGACTAGAGGCCCAATGCAGGATATTCGTGCAAGAGTAGGCCTTCCTTTCTCCAGCTGCCAGGACTGGCTTCCCTCCTGCCACCGGCACCTGGGACCCGGGCTTCCCTCGAAAAGGGAGGCCCCGCCCACCTGCTGCAGCCTGCTGCTCAGTGGCCTGGGCATCCCTCTTTGGGGCGATCGTGGAGCCCCCCATTTGATTGCCCCTCCCCCCCCCAGGCTGGTGGTCTGGGCCTCCCTCTGTGGGGTGATCATGGGGCAATGGCTGGGCCCCCGAGCAATCGCATTCCATTGCCTTGACTGGCCTGGTGCCAGTGGGTGTCACAGTGTGGTCCTGGATGGTCGTCCTGCTATTTGACCTTAGGTCAATTTGCATATTACACTTTTATTATATAGGATATTCCCCCTTTCCCCCCATTGCTCCCCTCTATTTTTTTAATTGATTTTTTGAGAGGAGGAAGGGGGAGGGAGGGATGAAGAGAAGAAGGGGGTAGGGAGAGAAACATTGATCAGTTGAGAGAGAGAGAGAAACATTGATCAGTTGCCTCTTGTATGCACCCTGATCTGGGATCGAACCCCCACAACCTGGGTATGTGCCCTGACCAGGAGTCAAACCCGTGTGACCCTTTGGTGCACGGGAAGATACTCCAACCAACTGAGCCACACTGGCCAGGGCATAGTACTCTATTTTTTAGTCCACATAATTTATTTAGATATAAGTTGCTTGGCATCATTAGCCTTGCTTATATTTTCCAGTTTCCCTTTTGCTGCTTAATATTGAATTCTAGGAATCTTTTATCTAAGTTTTTTTTTAATATATTTTATTGATTTTTTTATAGAGAGGAAGAGAGAGGGATAGAGAGTTAGAAGCATCAGTGAGAGAGAAACATTGGTCAGCTGCCTCCTGCACACCCCCTACTGGGGATGTGCCTGCAACCAAGGTACATGTCCTTGACCAGAATCGAACCTGTGACCCTTCAGTCCACAGGCCAATGCTCTATCCACTGAGCCACGCCGGCCGGGCTATCTAAGTTTTTAAAGTGTAATTTTAAAGAGATTGGTAAGTTATTCACATTTATGAAATTTTACTGTATGTTTAATGAAAGGGATACACACACACAATACATATTTAACTTGTCTTTTTCTTCTAGTACAGCGGTTCTCAACCTGTGGGTCATGACCCCTTTGGTGGTTGAACGACCCTTTCACAGGGGGTCGCCTAAGACCATCCTGCATGTCAGATATTTACATTACGATTCATAACAGTAGCAACATTATAGTTATGAAGTAGCAACGAAAAATAATTTTATGGTTGGGTCACAGCATGAGGAACTGTTTTTAAAGGGCCAGAAAGTTGAGAACCACTTCTAGTAGAGATCTCTTAATCATTCAAAGTCAGTCAATTTTATAATAACAGTTGGTCTCAGAAAATTTTTTTCTCCAAAGTTGAAGGCTGTTTTCAGAGATTTTGCTTATCTTATGTAGAGTGCTAAACCACTTCAGTTTCACGTTTTCTGATGTTGTCCATCATGCTTCTAAGAGGGTTGGGTTCACTTTTCAAGTCTTTCACCGTTTTGTTTTTTACACAGCAGCAACAGTCAAGCACTTCATAAAGGAAAGCCAGCACCACTAAAGATACCACTGTAAATATAAATAAAAGCAGAATGACAAAGCAGGCAGTGTTCCAGTTATCATGGAAAGGGTAAATTTTTTGAACTTGAAAACCAAGGTACTGATAAACAGATGTAGTGGTTTCATTCCATAGGCTGGAGCTCAGGGAGGCCATTCTTAGGATTCCACTTCTTGTATTGTTCTTTTGAATCTATAAAAAGATAAAATGAATATATGTAACCAGACTCTACAGATTTAGCAATCCAAATCTCAGTGCTAAGATTTGTTAATAAATTTATATAGGCGATCTGAGCCTTCCTTATCTGCCAGAATTAATGCCTGAATGGTATTAATTCAATAAGTAAATTTAAAAACACATTTAATGGTGTTAATTTTTCTTTCAAAAGAAAATGTCTTTATTGATTTTAGAGAGAGGAGTGGGAGAGAGGGATAGAAACATCAATTATGAGAGAGAATCATTGATAGGTTGCCTCCCGCACATCCCCTAATGGGGGGGGTCTAGCCTGAAACCCAGAAATGTGTCTTTTTTAAAAAAAATATATTTTATTGATTTTACAGAGAGGAAGGGAGAGGGATAGAGAGTTAGAAACATCGATGAGAGAGAAACATCGATCAGCTGCCTCCTGCACTCCCCCCACCAGGGATGTGCCTGCAACCAAGGCACATATCCTTGACCGGAATCGAACCCGGGATCCTTGAGTCCGCAGGCCGACGCTCTATCCACTGAGCCAAACCGGTTCTGGCGGGAAATGTGTCTTCATCGGCAATCAAACTGATCTCCTAGTTCAACACTCAACCCCTGAGCCACAGTGGCCTGGCTAATTTTTTCTGTATCTATGCCAATGTAGTCTGTAAACTATACTATATATTTCTGTGTGTATTATTTAACAAGTATGTATTTTTAATATTCATACACTGAAATTAACTGGAAAGGGAAAAAAGGCAGCTGCATTGGTTTAAAGTTTGACTAAAGAAGTGGTCAGGAACTCTGCGTTTTAAGGTTATATTCTTCAAAATGCCCTTGTGGATCCTCTCACCTTCTTAGTTCTGTGTATTTTCGGCTCCTATTTCCACTCCTTTAAACTTCGAGGATAGGGACCTGAATCAGGGAATAGTGGCTGAGTGAAAAATAGTAGAGAAAGAAAAGTTAAATTAAGTTGCCTATGAAGAAATTAAAATCTTAGTTTTATTTGTGTCTAAATGTTTCATGTGCCTAAATGACCTATAGATATATTTTAAAAAACAGGCAAATTTAATGCCCCACAGTTATCATTTATTGAATTATTCCATTTCACAAAATTAGCTAGTGAGTTAAAGTTTCAGTATTCTTGCATTAACTTTTGCTCTTGTCGACCTGAGACTTGTTGCCCTTATTTGAGAGTGTTAAAGATTAAAAAGTGACTTAAAACCTAAAGCCATCTATCTATATATATAAAAGGTTAAGGGACCGTTCGACCGGTAGCTATGATGCACAGTGACCACCAGGGGGCAGACACTCAATGCAGGAGGTGCTGAGCTGTGGTGACTTGGCAGTGGCGGTTCTCGGGTGATGCACCCCGGAACCAGAGAGGAAGTAGCTGATTCTGGGGTACATCACCCGAGAACTGCCCTCTAGCATCCCTTTGGGGGATGTCAGAGAGCCAGTTTTGGCCTGATCCCCGCAGGCCAAGCCGAAGGACCCCACCATCCCAGAGGGACCTTGCTCACTCTACAAAGATGCTCTTCAAGCCTCAGCGCCGCCTCAGGTATGGCTGGCCGAGAAGGGGATGGCAGAGAAGAGACCTTGGGAGGTTGGCTCCAGGGCATGTACGGCCCATCTCGCCCAGACCTGCTCTGTTGGCCACTTTCTAATTAATTTCCTTTCAATCTGCATGAGCCCATGCACCGGGGCACTAGTAACCATAATTCCTTTAGATTTCTTTATTTCCTTTATAGATATAATTTTAAAACTTTGGGCTTGATAAATTGATATCTTCTAAGGTTCTTGTTTTCTTAAGTCAGATTTGCTTGACAAATCCCTTCACCTCTCTAGATGGACTTGGTTCCTTCCTTCTTTCATGTGTTTTGAAGGTTAAGTTGATGATCTGAGGCCAAAAGTAAAGGCTTCAATTTATTTTTCTTTTTGGATTTAAGAATTCTTCAGGGTTTTTTTTTGTAAAATATATTTTATTGACTTCAGAGAGGGAGGGAGAGAGTGAGAGAGAAACATCAATGGTGAGAGAGAACTATTGATCAGGCTGCCTCCTGTATGCTCCACACCAGGGATCAAGCCCTCAATCTGGGCATGTGTTCTGACCGGGAATCGAACTGTGACCTCCTGAGCCACACTGTCTGGGCAAGAGTTCTTCAGTTTTATGGTGCTTGGGATCCTTTATCTTGAAATGAAGGATAACAGACTAATGTACTGTAATTGAACCAACTGCTTCTATTAGTTCTGGGACATACAAAAATAAGTTGTCTGTAACCCAGTATGTGTTACATTACATCGTTTTCAAACTATATCTGGAGATTTAGCCTTTCAAAGTTACCCTCTTCTGGCCTTTGAATTTTTTTCTTCTGAGCATTTTTAAAAAATATGTTTATTGATTTGAGAGAGAGAAACATCAAAGTGAGAGAGAAACATCGATTGGTTGCCTTCCACATGCACCCCAACTGGGGATCAGACCCAAAACCTGGGTATGTGTCCTGACCAGGAATTGAACCAGTGACCTTTAGGTGCACGGGAAAATGCTCAATCACCTAAGCCACATCAGCCAGGGCCAGAGCATGTTCTTATAGAGTAGTGATGGCGAACCTTTTGAGCTTGGTGTGTCAGCATTTTGAAAAGCCCTAACTTAACTCTGGTGCCGTGTCACATATAGAAATTTTTTGATCTTTGCAACCATAGTAAAACAAAGATTTATATTTTTGATATTTATTTTATATATTTAAATGCCATTTAACAAAGAAATATTAACCAAAAAAATGAGTTCTATCTGGGCATGTGTTCTGACCGGGAATCGAACTGTGACCTCCTGAGCCACAGGAGGTGACACGCGTGTCATAGGTTCGCCATCACTGTATAGAGAGAGAGCAGGGTTGCAATGTTGACAGCTCCAAGGAGCACCATTCATATTGTATTGTGGGGTGCCATTCACATAGAGTTATATAATGTAGATTTCCTGATAGGCTACCACTCTAACTTCTGCATTATTGCTGCCTCTATTTCTAATCATCATGCACACAAATAGTCAAGTAACCCACAGAAACAGACTCAAATGGAAACAAAAGTTAAGTCCTTTGTGATCCAGTCTTTCATGGCACACATACCCCCCTACAATAAGTTCAGCTTTGGAACTCCTTTAAGATTTTTAGCACTACTAAGATGCAGATATTCGTGGGAGGGGTAACACACATTGTTACAGTTATTTTTACTTCAGTATGAATGAGTTTCAGGCCCTTTTTGAAAAGCAGAGCAAACAGAGGAGAGGGAAAGGAAGAATAGTAGGTCCTTGGGGAAGTAGGGGACAGTGCCACTTATATGGGTAGGTAGAATAGGAAAAAATGACATAAGGGTCTATGTAATAATTTTACTTGTGCTAACCTGGGACCTTTCCAGTATTGATGAAAGGATTTTTTAGGTTTTTGGTTAAGGCTTTCAGGTTGATTCCTTTTTAATCTCGGGGGAAAAAATCTGAGGGGTTTTCTTCTAAATCTGCATTAGCAGTGACTACAAGGAAACAGTAATAGGGAGGGAGGACAAAGAGTGAGGCAATTTCCACATTATGCCCCTCAAATTAGTTTAATCTACCTTATTAATTAACTTTATGTTAATTTAAAGTGTTAGTATACTATTGATTTCAGAAATATCATACAATTAAAAAAAATCTAAAAATTTTACCCAGAATCCTATCTCCCAAACATATCAAACTTTTAATTCTTGTTCTTTCTTCCTAGAAATTGGCTATATAAATCTATAACTCATACATGGTTGAAATTATACTGAAATTCTTACTTTGTATTTTAATATATTATGAGTAGGCCTTTTTTTTATTTGTTTTGACTTTAAAATGGGAGAATTTGTAAAGACTAAGTTACTTTTTCAAAATGAGATTTAAAAATGATTAGAAAGTTGGTTTAAGTAGCTTCATATTCTGTTTATTTTTGAGGTATAAATGAATTGCTTAAAACTTTTTCAGGCCCTTTCCCCCGTAAATAAATAGAGGGAGGGAGTGGAAGGGGAGGAGAGGAAGTAGGGGCAGGCAGGCAGGCAGGCAGACACACAACTAAATTATTTGAAGTTAACTTGTTCCCATTAGTGAACTATTTCTATGGTTAAAGTTAATATAGAATACCAACCCAATTGACTATTATTCATGAACTAGAGACCTCTTGCACGAAGATTCGTGCAGTAGGCCTTCTTTCCCCTGGCTGCCAGCACCAGTTTTCCTCTGGCACCTGGGACCCAGACCTTCACTCTGGCCACCGCCTTCCATCTTCGCCTTGGACACAGTCTTCGCTGTGGCTTGAGCCTTCAGTTTTTGCTCCTCGCTCCGGCGGGAGTCTTCAGTCTGGCCAGAGCTGCTCCCGTAGCTCCTTCTGCCTCCCACCCTCCCCCTCATAGCTTGATTGCTGCTTCGCCTGCAGATCTCGAACACGAGCTCCTGGGTTCCAGGGGGCCACCTTGCATGTGGCCTGACTTTCCGATCACGATCACAGGCCGCAGGCAAGGGGGCTCCTGGGTCCCAGGGGATTGCCTTGCCTGCGGCCTGGCTTTCTGGTGGCTTCTGGGGTCCCACACAGGGGCCTGGATGGTGGCTCCCAGTGTCCCGCCCTGCCTGCAGTATGCAAATTAGCCGCCATCTTTGTTGGTGGTTAATTTGCATATCATGCTGATTAGCCAATGGGAGACATAGCGAAGGTATGGTCAGTTACCTCGTGTCTATTATTAGATAGGATGAGGTAATTGTGTGGTGATATGGAAAGACTTTTAGGATATGTTAAGTGAAAAGAGCAAGGTACAGTACAGCATGTATAGGAAAGGGGGAAATATATATTTTTATTTGCTTGTATCTGCACAAAAATCTTGAATATACAAACAGTGATTACTTGTGGGCTTAGGTGGACAGTAGATTTGGGGGGCAGGGGTGTGTGTGAGATTTCTCTAGATATACCTGGTTACATTCTTTTAGTTTTTTTATATATATATATTTTATTGATTTTTTACAAAGAGGAAGGGAGAGAGATAGAGAGTTAGAAACATTGAGGAGAGAGAAACATCGATCAGCTGCCTCCTGCACATCTCCCACTGGGGATGTGCCCGCAACCCAGGTACATGCCCTTGACCGGAATCAAACCCGGGACCCTTCAGTCCGCAGGCCGACACTTTATCCACTGAGCCAAACCGGTTTCGGCCATTATTTTAGTTTTTTAAAAATATATTTTGATTGATTTCAGAGAGGGAGAGATAGGAACATCAGTGATGAGAGAGAATCATTGATTGACTGCTTCTTGCATGCCCCACATTGGGGATCAAGCCTGCAACCTGGGCATGTGCCTTCATTGGGAATCGATCCGTGCTCCTGATTCATACTACTCAACAACTGAGCCATACCAACTGGACATTCTTTTAGTTTTTGAACCGTTTCACTATATTACTTACTCAAAACCAAATATATTTTAAAAGTATTCCTTACCTTTGGCTTTTAAAAATCTATTGTGTTCTATATCTATTTAGTACATTTATTGAGATTTCTGGATTCTAAAAAATTAGGATTATCAAACACCGTCTTTTTTTTTTTAAATCATGACCCAAGGATATTTTTCCATTGATTTTAGAGAGAGTGGAAGAAAGATGGAAAGACAGAGAGAAACATCAATGTGAGAGAAACACATCTATTGGTTGCCTCCTGCATGTGTCCTGACTAAGGCCCAGGCTGGGGAAGAGCCCACAACTGAGGTATATGCCCTTGACTGGAATCGAATCCAGGACCCTTCATTCCACAGGCTGACGCACTATCCACTGAGCAAAACCAGCTAGGGCAAAAACTGTCATTTTGATTAGACTGCATATCTTATTCATATAGATATGCTTATCATACATAGTGCTTATAATAATACAGTGGACAGCAGTGTATGCCATCTCCCAGGGCATTGTAAGCTTTGCTAGAAGCATCTAAGCAGTTTAGGAAAGAGTATGTACATGTCAGGTTTATGTTACAAATGATGACACTGTGCCCCCTGTAAGTGCATTGATAACTGATGAGCAGCTTAAAACATTCACTTTCTAGTTAGCTTTTGGGGCATAGCTGAAAATAGTAAACCCTTATAATATGGAATCATTTTTCACCTTATATTTCATGTGATTTATTTTTTCTCCCAAAGTACAGTAGAGCTCTAGTGATTTTTTGTGTTAAATTTAGGGTAAAATGAATTTACTTTGGATTAGACATAACTAGACATGCAAAAAGATATTTGCCATTAGGATTTTTTTAATGTCCTGAGACTATATTTTTGAAACTAAAATGTAAATTTGTATCAAGCAAATGCTATAAACAAGCCTTTTGAAAAGTAAGAGAAAATGGCAAAAAAACCCACAACAAGACAAAGAAAAGTCTGTACTTTTTTGCATCCCCCTTAACCCCTTTAAAATTTCATTATAGCCCTAGCTAGTTTGTCTCAGTGGGTAGAACATTGGCCTGTGGACTGAAGGGGTCCCAGGTTTAATTCTTGTCAAGGGTAATTCTGGTCATGCCTGGTTGTGGGTTCAATCCCTAGTTAGGGGGTGTGCAGGGAGCAGCCCATCAATGATTCTCTTTCATCACTGATGTTTCTCTCTCCCTCTCCCTCTCAGGAATCAATAAAAATATATTAAAACAATAAAGTAAAATTTCATTACAGGAATGGGAAGTGTTAAGGTAAATACCATATACTTCTTTAGTTTGTTATTTTTGGAATAATTACCTTCACCTATTTTTCCTCCCATTTCAAAAGGTTCTAGTGAAATTATTTATGGGGCTAAGACTAGGAACTGTTTTGAAACCTTGAATTGCCAAATCAGAATAAATTTATGCTTTTGCTGTATTTATGGTAAAAGCCCTTGAATTGAATTTTCTAGTACCTTTTAAGCATGTCACTTTGAAATATGATCAATTAATAATAATGGCCTTTACAAATAGAGCAATACACTTAGCCTTGGAACTCTCTGAGACAGGCCATGCCTCTAGCCAGTTCAGTGAAACAGCAATGAGCCTACATCTGTGCTAACTAGAGATGTGTTACCAGGGAAATGTAGACTATGATTTTAAAACAATGTAGGTGGTAGGGGTTTTAGTTTACAGTTTACCTGAAATTTGAGTTACAAGTTAACTTTTTTTTTTTTTGCAAAGTAGTTTTTATTTTATCTGCGACTCTTTTTGGGTACCCATACTTTGTATGGCAAACAGGAATGTTTTCTAGGTAACAAACCCCATTGTGCTGAACCTGGAGAGATCTAATATCTTCTTATAGCAACCTGTAGTCTTTATAAGGGACACTTTACTTATATTAGCTATATGCAGGCTAAGAAATAAAAGAAATAAAAATTATGAAAAAAAAAGTTCTTTAAATAGATTTACCCAGCAAAGAAAAGGGCAGAAGTTGGATCTATAGGTCAACATTTATAGGTAATATCTTTGAACTCTAGCACCTACTAAATAATGATATTTTCATGCTTGAATATTATAAAATTAGAAATTTGGTCAGCAATTGCTACTGATTTTTAGTAGATATGAATGGTTAATCTGAGACATGAAAGTAATATTAGTACTTTGAAAGGTACTGTACTATCCTTTCTTAACCAGTTCCTTGGACATATTTTTATTTCTAAATGTAGTGAATTAGTAAGACTTTGTATTTATTGTGAGGGTAAATTTGAGAATAACTTTAACATCGAAGTTACTGTTATATCTTTTTGTGCCATATGCAAAAATGAAAGGCTATTTCAAAAAGGTTTTCATTTAAAAATAGCATAACTTGAACATTACAGTAATATGGACTTTAGGATTTTACTTATGTAAGGAAATTAAAATGTTAGAAAAGTCTGAAGCTCTAGAAATTATCTATTTCTTTATAATAAAATGCAGCCTACATAATGGCACCTTTATGGTCTTATTTTTATATAAAGATCACAGTTGTGATATTTTATAGATTCACAAAATCAAATAAATTTGAATTATTTTCTCATATTTGTTAAAATATATCAAACTTTTTTGTAAGCAACTGCTTTTTATTAGCCAATATAATTTGCACATATATAATCAGAAAGCTTTAGTCCAAGATTCGCTTTTAGTTTAGATTTTTCTTGAAGAAAAATCCTTTGTTTAAGCAGACCAAACTGCTGAAATGAAATAGTTCAGAGAAAATAAAATTAGCAAATAACCATTTAAAATCAAATGCTTATAGTTTACTCTAAGGTCTGGCTATAGATCCGGTTAAAGACAATGTCATGAATTTTCCATTAAGGCACAGATGGTAAGGGTGCTCTCAAATAGCACAGGCAGTCTTCATGTTTCCATAATAAAATCCTGCCAAGCAATGAAATGAATACATTGCTTATTTTGGTTTTCAGTAGGAACAAAGCTTTCTGCTTGATTTTTATGGTAAAATATTTTTATACTGCATCATAAGGACATGTATTCCTGAATGAAAAAAATCATATAAACCTACCTCTTGTCTGAAGGGCTGCTGTTGAAGCGATGGTATCGATGGTACAGTCTGTTTGTAATGCAGTCTAGTGCACAGCCAAGATGGAGCTGTGCTTCTATTGGTTGAACCACAGGGCAGCTGACAGTTTCTTCTACATTCATTTGCATTAAGTCCTGCCACCCTTACGAGTAAATCATACATAAACGTGAATAAAGCTGTCTGGGATATCAGCTGTCATCCCTTTTCTTGCCTTATTTTTTGTCCTTCAGCTAAATTCCTGCATAGGAATTTGTAAATTAGCAATAAATTGATGTTTCCTCATTGTTCGATATTTAAGATCCTTCAGTGAATATTTCAGTGCTGGGGCTTGAAGATAATGTTGAGAGAGGTAGTAACCTAGTATACAAACACAGCCCAGAGTTATCAGCTTTATATTTTCTCCAGGAAGTGTGCATACAATTTTATAAATTATATATATTTTTCTTTCATTATTGTGTTTTATTACTCGCATGTGGTAGTTTAATAGAGGAAAAATTCTGAGAAAAAAGAGAGAAATAAGGTTTTTGGCTTTATTAGTTGGGAGAGGATAGGTATACCACCCACATTAAAAAAAGCAGTCTGTGAAATGTATTTAATTTTTTTAATCCTCAGACAAGGTTATGTCTTTTTTAATTGATTTTTAGAGGGGGAGGGGGAAAGAGAGAGAGAGAAATATCAATCTGAGAGAGACACATCAATGGGTTGCCTCCCGTGTGTGCCCTAATCAGGGATCAAACCTGAAACCTGAGTATGTGCCCTCATCAGGAATTGAACCTGCCACCTTCTGGTGTATGGGACCATGCTCCAAACAACCAAGCCACGGCCAGGACAGCCTGTGAATTAAAATGGCAAAAGAACTCTATTTGGGTGTTTGAAATAGAATGTTTTTATTTATGGTGTATTATATAAAGTTGTGGTCTAAGCATAACAGAATCAAGGTTTTTAATTATGGGAGTGGCTATTATAACAATAGGCTGTGTAAATGCTTGCTATATAGACTTATTTTAATTATAGGTAAATCACATTCTGGGGCCATAAAATACTAAAAAAAAAACAACAACAACATTTCAGAAGTACACATTTTGTTTGTTTGTTTTACACCTGAGGATGTTTTTCCACTGATTTTTAGAGTTGGAGAGAGAGGGAAAGACTGAGAAAAATATCAATGTAAGAGAAACACTTCGATTGGTTGTCTCTTGCATGGGTGCTGACCAGGTCCTGGGCCGGGAAGGAGCCTGCAACTGAGGTACAGGCCCTAGACCGGAATAGAACCTGGGACCCTTTAGTCCGAAGGCCAACGCTATATCCACTGAGCCAAACTGGCTAGGGCAACATTTATTGTTTACTATGGCTAGTAATGAGTTAAATGCTGGAGACCCTCTGGTAAACAAAACTATGTGGATTGTGATTGACCATTTAGTGCTTAATCTTAATATACTCATCATTTTTTTTTTTGTCTTCCCAGTTAGTTGTTTATACAGGATAAACTTTATATTACTTTACTACAGTTAAACAAGAAAACATTAGATGTACAGTTATGAATTTTCATACTCTGACAAAATAGCCAATTTCTGATGGCATAATCTGTGTAAAAGGCCAGTTAATGATTCTTATATAAGGCATTATCACAGGGTTTACCCCTGGATTTGAATATATATCCTGCCACTTACCATTCTGTTTTTGTTGTTGTTTAAAAGTGGACAATAGTATCTAAATATGATTTTGGGGAAGGATTTAATTTAAAAAATCATTTAGCAGGGCTCTTGGCAAATAGTAAGTGTTCAATGAAGCTTAGTTACTACTATTGTTACAAAGGCCCTGGACATCTGAAAAAGGAACCATATAGGTAGGTAGTATTTCATAATTTAAAAAATGAGTGGGAAAGTACACCTTTATGGCATTCTCATTCTTACTATTGATATTTTGGGGAACATTATAAAGTAGACTTTAATGTGTCAAGTAAGCTACCAAAATTGTAACAGTTATTTTTAGAGGAAAATTGCATGCGAAGTCTCATTTTAGACTCATGAAAGCATATTCAGTAAAGCCTTTTCACTAATCTCAAGGGAGTATTGCCATCTAGAAGCTGTTCTTTTGGATCTCTGACAATTGTTACATTTGACTTGTGGTTGTTCTAATGTATTCTTTTGCTTAAGTTATTATTTCCAAGTGGTGCCAGACATTGACTCTCCCCCATTTTATTTAACCTCTGCTCTTATGTATCAGCCACATGGGAACTTCGTAATTTCTAACCTGATGCCATGCTAATAGAAAGTGTACTTCTGAAATTTTTATTTTAAGTATAGATGATGAATTTTTTTTTTTTTTTTACCGGTTCTTGCTTGTGACTAAAGGAATGCATTTGTGCTGCAGGGTAGCATTAGGATTTGTGCCTGTAAGAATGCAACAAAATGATAGATGTTCTGAAACAAATAATCTTCTGTACAGATTGTCCCTCGTTTCATGCTATCATTCTTTCTAAGCATCCAGGTTTATGCAGTGGCAGTACTTACAGTTCTTATTCCTAACTTATCTCTAAAGTTTACTTTAAAATAGTTATGGTATCATTCTTTTTATTCTATTAATGCCCATTTGTTTTAACGTAAAAGCAGAAATTGATGTCATAAGTGATAAATTGAACTTTTTATCCCCAGAAGTAACCACTTACTTCTCATGGTTTTAAATTTGTTAGAAAAGCACTATGGCCAGTGTAGTTAGAATGTTAGGCTGGCACACTGAAGGGTCTTGGTTGGATTCCAGATAGAAAACATCTACCTGGCTGTGGCTGGTTGCTGAGTGGTTAGAGCGCCAATCCTGAGAACCAAAGGGTTGATTTCTGTTCAAGGGCTTGTACGTTGGTTTCAGGTTCAATCCCTAGTCCTGGTCAGGGCAGGTTTGGGAGGGAACCAATTGTGTCTCTCTCACATCAGTGTTTCTCCCTCTCTCCTGCCTCCTCCCACCTTTCCACACTCTCTCAAAGATCAATAGAAAGAATACCTTGGGTGAAGATCAAAAAAAGAAGAAGGCATGTACCTGAGTTGCAGGTTCAGATCCCCACCCTGGTTGGGGCGCGTGGGGGAGACAGCCAATCTATGTGTGTCTTTCACATCAATATTTCTCTCTCTCTTCTTCCCTCCCTTCCACTTTCTAAAAACTATTGAAAAAAAAAATCCTCTGGTGAGGATTAAAAAAAAAATTTAAAAAGAAAAGCACTAGTGATCAGATTGAGATCTGTACTGTGTTTTGTTTAAAAAGTCTTGCTTCTATTTATGGGGGAAATCTAATCAGAATTAAGGAAATAGTGAGATAAAGGTACTTACAAAAGAAATAGATTTTAATGCTTTTGAATTATGTATATTTTGTTCCCATCCTTAGTGAGACAATGGGTTGTTAATTATACACTCAAGGATTTTAACTTTTCACCAAGTTTTATAGTATAGAATTCATTGGATAGAAAATCTCAAACAAGAAAAATCTTTATCTGAATTAAAGCCATTTTAGCTGTTTTAAAAAGTCATCTTAGCTGCTTACAAGTCATAATCACATCTAATATGAAAATCTTATTTTTTTTGAACTTTGTTTTCAGATCATAGCAATGGATCATTTAACTTGAAAGCTCTTTCAGGAAGCTCTGGATATAAGTTTGGCGTTCTTGCTAAGATAGTGAATTATATGAAAGTAAGTACTTTTTTCAGATAACAAAAATCCTATTTAATCTCTTGGCAGAAGGGGATTGGGATTTTCAGAAGTAAATTTATATATATATGTCACATTTAAAAAAATTGTATATTTCAACATATGTAGTTTATTTTATGCCTATTAATATCTCTAAACTGTAAAAATAATGTTTTAAGCCTTTTATATCTAGAGGTTCGGTGCACGAACTTTGTGCGGGGTGTGTGTGTGTGTGTGTGTGTGTGTCCCTCAGCCTGGCTTGCACCCTCTCTCAGTCCAGGACCCCTTGGGGGATGTCTGACTGCTGGTTTAGGCCTGATACAGTAGGGCATCCCTCTCGTAATCCAGGACCACTGGCTCCTAACCACTCTCCTGCCTGCCTGATCGCCCCTAACCACTCTGCCTGCCTCATGGTCCCTAACCACTTGCCTGCCTGCCTTATCGCCCCTAACCACTTGCCTGCCTACCTCATCACCCCTCACCTCTCTGCCTGCCTCACCGCTCCTCACCCCTCTGCCTGCCTGCCTGATTGCCCCTAACTGCTTGCCTGCCTGCCTGATCGCCTCTAACTGCCTCTGCCTCAGCCACTGTGGCTTCATCTGGAAAGACGTCTGGAAGGCCGTTTGGCTGTCCTGTCTAATTAGCATATTGTACTTTTATTATTATAGAAGATTGACATTGCACTGAGTCACCTAAGTATATTTAATTTACATTAATTCAAGGATAAGTCAATACCTGTTTACAAAACCCCTAAGAAGAGAATCTTACTTCCATTGATATGAAAAGTAGAAACTACATAGTTCAGGCAGGTGGAGGTGATGGCTTTTCTACATCTTGGAGGAGAAAATTAGAATTACTGAGGGTCTTAGAAAAACATTAATTCACAAAATAATTTGAATTTAATGTTTGACGGAAGATTTAGTACTTTTTTGAAATAAGCTTAATGATTATAATATTTTGGCTTACTAAAGGCTTTGAATCCTACCTTACTAAGTAAAATTTAATTTATAACTAGGATGGTTACTTGATTTCAAATTTGTACCCTTCACTAAGCAAACTCTTATTCCCATTTAGTTAGTAGTTGTATCTCTTGAAAAGAGTCAAAGTTCTGTATTTATAATTATTTCATATTTCAGCTATCATTTAAAAACTATAAATCAAGATTTTATGCTGAGACTTTCATAATTTAAGAGTCTTAGTGTCTGCCTATGTCCATTTAATTTCTAGTAGAAACCTGGTTTATAATTTCCCATGACCAAATACTATATTTTGACACTTACGTATTCACCATTAATTTCATCTATCCATTACTCCACCTGATAAACAATTCTTAAAACCCATTATATACTGTTTGTAGCACTAAAGGTGGGAATACCCAGGAAAAAATGTATGTCCTTGTGGCTGTCCATCTTTTGAGGGAGACTGACGTTTAAATGTCTTGTTTTTTGCTCTTTTGCTAATAGTCTTCA